TCTGACAACAGCTTTAAACATATCTGACTGATAGGCAGACATACGGAATTCAATTTCCTTCTGCTCAGTCAGAGACCTGCTACGACCACATCACACGCACAGGAAAAAAAAATAACATTCCCTTTCATGGTGGAAAAATCTCTGAGAAGTCTCTGTCATCTTGATATCATGAAAGTTGGAGCAGAAGATTTAACAAGAAGCTAAACTCAGATGTAAGAGATTTTTTTAGACAAGGAAAAAGCTCAAGGTGATGTAAAAACTGAGCAGCTGCCTGAGAAAATTAATAAATCTGATCACAGTTTTAAAGCTCCTTTTAAAACCCTTAGAACGATTTCTGAATCCACTTCTGATTTTTTAAAAATATTGTATTTGTTGGTATATTTAAGACACATTAGCATGAGGAAATACTTGTTTCTGCTTGAGTCTAAAAATAAGTTATTTTATTTAAAAAGACTTGGTGCTGTCCCTGTGTCTCTGCTGCTGGACTTGACTTTGTCTTCCACCYATCCATCCGTTTTCTGCTGCTTATCCGGGATCGGGTCACGGAGGCAGCAGCCTAAGCAGAGAGACCCAGACTTCCCTCTCTCCAGCCACTTGGACCAGCTCGTCCGGGGGAATCCCAAGGTGTTCCCAGGCCAGCTGAGAAACATAGTCCCTCCAGCGTGTCCTGGGTCTTCCTCTGGGTCTCCTCCCAGTGGGACATGCCCAGAACACCTCACCAGGGAGGCGTCCAGGAGGCATCCTAACCAGATGAACCACCTCAACTGGCTCCTCTCGACGTGGAGGAGCGGCGGCTCTACTCTGAGTCTCTCCCGGATGACTGAGCTTCTCACCCTATAAGGGAGAGCCCAGACACCCTGCGGAGGAAACTCTTTTTGGCTGTTTGTGTCTGCAATCTCGTTCTTTCAGTAACCAAAGCTCGTGACCATAGATGAGGGTAGGAACGTAGACCGACCAGTAAATGGAGAGCTTTGCCTTCTGGCTCAGCTCTCTTCACCACGACAGACCGGTACAGCGCCCGCATCACTGCTGACGCAGCACCAATCCGCCTGTCGATCTCCCGCTCCATTCTTCCCTCATTCGTGAACAAGACCCCGAGATACTTAAATTGAACTCCTCCATTTGGGACAGGACCTCCTCCCCGACATGGAGAAGGCACCCTACCCTTTTCTGGCTCAAGACCATGGTCTCAGATTTGGAGGAACTGATCCTCATCCTGGATGCTTCACACTCGGCTGTGATCCGCTCCAGTGAGAGCTGGAGATCAGGATCTGATGAAGCCAATAGGACCACATCATCCACAAAAAGCAGAGATGTGATCCTAAGGTCACCATAAAGGATCCCCTCAACATCTTGGCTGCACCCAAATTCTGTCCATATAAGTTATGAACAGTATCTGTGACAAAGGGCAACCTTGGCGGAGTCCAACTCTCACCAGAAACGAGTCCGACTTACTATTAATGCGGACCAAGCTCTGGCACCAGTCGTACAGGGATCTAACAGGGCCTGGTACCCCATACTCCCAGAGTGCCCACCAGAGGAGTCCCCGAGGGACACGGTCAAACGCCTTCTCCAAGTCCAAAACACATGTAGACTGGTTGAGCAGACTCCCGTGAACCCTCCAGGGCCCTGCTGAGGGTCTACATCTGGTCCAGTGTCTTGTCTTGACTCGTACTTTTGTACAGAAATGACAGATTCTTTGCAGACTGTTTTATTTCAAGACTCTTTCTCTTGCAGCTCTGCTCTGCTTTAAGAGATGCTTTTTTTTTTTACTAAAACTTGAGCCTCTAACTGAATTCCTAAAGGTCTGCTGCACATGGCAGCAAACGGTGTGGAGTTTTCATGTTTTATTTTTGTGTTTAAATCCATAAGAGAGCTGAGWTTTTTGTGGGGCTTCTCTCCAGTGAAGGATGACTCTGAGGTTTCTTCCCTAACATCCCACCTCCTCCGGTCTCCTGGTGAGACCTTTTCATGTTCTCCGATGAGAGAGAGCTTTGCTTCATCATTACCCTCCTACAATCACAGAAAACTCTCCTCCTGAACACGAAAAATTCAAAGCAGGTYCTGTCACGGATTATTGGACAGTTTATGAATCATGTGTTTAATGCTTTGTAGCTGAGGATCTGCAGCTCTGTAATAGTTTTTATTTTTAAAAGTGTCTTAATGGGGAACATAAACAGCTAAAATTGGAACTTTAGATAACGTGTCAAAGACCAGGCTTGCGAGCCAAATATGGCCCCCACACAGCCTTTTATGTGGCCCACAAGAGTTTCAAAAATGTATTGAAGCCTGTATTGACCAGAAACTCCATCTCCCATAATGCATGTTGATAATTTTACTCGCAAATCGAAGACATCCCACCACTAACTGAAGGTGCACATGATTAAAAAGAAATTCCCACTTCCCAGTTGTATTTGGAAATGGGAATTCCCAACTTGCAAGATGGAAATTTAAACAGTAACTTGTCAAAGCACAGTTTCTATGCACAAAATACCACATAGAGCTTGTTTGTTCATGGGGTTCAGCTGAAACAATGAAACAAAGAATTTGATTATTTTTCGACACACCCCTGTTTAGGAAAAACTGCTGAGTAAGAGACTGAATTTACATGCTTCAAAAACATTTTTTTTACATAAGTCCCTTTAGTGGAGGCCGGGGACAGTGGCAACAAGGGGCGGTTGCAACACATCATTTTTCTCCAAACAGAAACAAGCTAGAGTGATGACACTCACACTGTACATGCTCAGTTAGATGCCCCACCTTGCAAAGACAAAGTAAGCGGATTCAAAAACTGCTCCAGGATTTATTTGGGGGGAAAAAAAAACTGTTTTTTGAGGAACCAAAGTATTTTAYTTGCCCAGCTTTATTTTTGTTACACAGTTGTCACTGTTTTTGTGATCCAGCTCAAACGGATTAAACAAGTGATAGGTTGACTTTTAACTAATATAGTTAACATGTATCCAGATGAGCTTATTTAGCTAACACATGAGGTTTTATCATGGCTGACAGGAAGGGGGACAGTTGTAACAGTTGTTGCAACTGTTCCCACACGATAAATCCATATAAAAACAGAGCACATACAGATGAGATTAACATGTTGAAATTAAGTTTACACTTAAAAAAGGGTATTGGGTATTCATGACAATTACATAGTTTAAACATAAAAGTGTAGTTGATGTTCTGAACAATTGTTTTAAAATCCCAGTTTCTTTCAATGTAAATGTTGCATAATGTAGGCGTACAGTGACAACAGGCAAAACAAAAGTTAATTGTCTCACAAGTTGTTCTATTATTCTTGTCTCTAAAAGTCAACTGTGTTTTTTATTAAAGTCTTTGACATCTGTATTTAAGGTCTACTCATCAAGGCAAATCTATATTCATCATTTGATCAAAAATAGTAAATAAATAACACTAATATCATTATAACTTACAGTTTTTATTAATTTGGCAATAAGACACATATAAAAAAATAATAAAAAATTTATTTACAGTGAAATGTGTTGTATTAATAATATGCTGTAACCACCCCCAAACAACGTTGCAACTGTCCCCGGCCCCGGGGTCAGTTGCAACATCCGACTTTTCATTTTCAAATGCAAACAGTGAAAATGTACATGTTTTAATTATCTTTAAATGGTTTTGACTATTAACAGACAGATGTAAGTTTATTGTATTAAAATTAGTTTTGTCTAATTCAAACCATCTCTGAGTAACAGAGTCAAATGTAAAAAAAAAAAAAGGTGTTGCAACTGTCCCCGGTCTCCCATATCTTTGCACACCTGGTCCGTCCTTGTTTGGTAATTAACGCACCTGCTCTGGACTCGACTGATTGCTCCCTCAGTCTGTTCACGAGACGGTTTACTAACACGGACACGAGCAGCCGAGTTTTATCTGACCRAGAGTTTCTACAGAAGGAGTGGGTTAACGCGCTTTGACGCACGAACGTCCAGCAGGTGGGGGAATCAGCAGAGCCGAGGAGCTGCAGACAACCGGCGCTCATTCACCGACAGAACAGCAGCAGCAGCAGCTCCGGTTGTTTCCCACAAATATATAATTTTTTTACATTTTTAGATCGTTTTCAGGAGGCGAACAGCTCCTCGGAACTCCCCCCGGACATGCTGCCTCAGCCTGCCCGCGCCGTGAAGCGGGACGCCGGGGAATAAGTGAGCGTCCGCCGGATAAATGCCCTGAGAAAGTCTCGGTGAAGTGAGCGGACAGACCGCGGCTGCCGGGAGATGAATGTGACCGGGAAGCAGCAGCCTGAGCTGATCGAGAGACCCGCCAGCCTACCGGTGCCAACATCGGCGAGTAAAACCTCCTCATTATGTTTGATGAACCTTTTCTTAAACGCACAAACTTAAACCCACCGATCCGCGCGTCTAATAGCCGCCAGGTGCGTCATTGTGCACGAGCAGAGACGGAGCAACACGCGCAGCTTCAGWAGATGCTTTGATGCTCAGAGAGCGCGCCAGACTCCCGTTTTAAAAAGCCACTATTTAGGTTTTCTTGCATTTAAACACCCATAGCTTTTAAAATACTGAAGATATTCCGAAACAATTSAATCATCTGAACAGTTCGGCAAACATTTAACTCTTATTAAAACAAAATGCCAACTTTTTAAAGATGTGCTAAAACGTGTTTTACAAGAATCCCTTAAAATGTTGTTGCTTCATATTTTTACAAGCTAAAAAAAAAAAAAAAAAACACAGCTCCTGTAATTTTTCTGTAATTAAACTGAGCTTGTTTGTTATGCATTTTAGTCATGATACTGGTCCTTCAGGGTAAACCAACCTGATTATTATTTGAAGAGAAAAGSTTGTTACCTGGATTTGGTGGCTATTTTATTTCCATAGCACAGCAAATGTTGACCAATATAAAGGTAAAACAGAAACATTTAAATAACAGATTAAATACAGGAACATAAACCATACTGGATCTCTGACTCATTTAGAAAATAAAGATGGATATAAACCAGTTTGTATTCAAAATAAAATGTTGCTGTTGCACATATCTAATGYATTTAAGCAAGAAAACAATCTGACTTTTTAAATTTCCCCTCATATTTTCATTTCAGTATAAAAAAAGCCATGAACTAAACCTCATTCATTAACCTGAGAAAGGAAAGGGTGTAAAGACGTTTGTGCAGATTTGTCGCCTGTGTTCAGGTGTTTCTGAATCATTGTTTTTAAGATTTTCATGTAAAAGTTTAGTCTTTACTCTGCTTATCTTCCTCGTTCCGCAGGAAGTTCCTCTAATTTCTTCGACCCCTGCAGTCCTGCACAGCTGACAGTTTGCAATCTTAGTCCCAGGTTTTAAACCAGATTATCTCTCCACGTTTTCAACCCACGACTTCTCACCAACGGGTGCAATTCCACAGTAAAGCGCAGGAGACTCCYTTTACTAGTGTTAAACTTCAGGGTGATTTTAAAATGAGCCATGATGGAAACTAAACTGCAAGCCTGAAAACTATTTAGCAACAAAAATAAATTAAATCAAATCARAAAGCCATTTTGGATCCTGCAGCACATTTTCTGCCCTGCTTTAAAAAGTAGATTCATTATTGTCRAAGTTTTTCTTCCCCCCATTAATTTGCATCTAAAGTGCATCTTTTAAAGGCCACGGTGGGCCATTCAGTGTCAAAYGAAGCTGTTCAGAATAACAGAGTTAAGCTTGTTTTTCTAATGAGCAGAGGCTCCGTTTCTGAGTGATTGCTAATCAAAGGTAAATTAGGCCTAAAACGGCACACCTCTTCTGTTTTTAATTATCCTCTTGGCACCATTAACAGTTATTAGATGCCTCCTAATGATCAGACGTGCGAGCAGTGATCAGTGYGAAGCAGGTCGAGGCAGAAATGAGACTTGAACGAGCTCTGAGGGTGTACCAGCAGTCGGTCGATGCAGCAGACTGCGCTCCTTCTGTCCAAACACCAACAGCTCTCCTGCTACAGTGCACGTGTGTGCGTCAGTTTGGATTGTACGTCAGGCTGTATTACCTCTGTGATGGACAGGCGTGTCCTCCCTCCTACCACACGCTGGGAACGAATTCATTTCTGGTTTTGCTCAAGCAGTACATTTGTTTGGTGAAGACTTGACAAATTTCCTCTGCGAGGTTTGAGGCATGGCTGCTGCAGAGGCTCAGGTTGCACCACAGTTGTTGTGCTTGAACTCCACTACAGTACTGGTGAACTTTAAGACCTTTAGGGATGGAAACGCACAATCTCTCACAATTCATGAGCCACGATTCAACAACTCTGTATTTGATGTATTTTTTTATTTTGTGGGCTGATTTACAGACCGTTTGAAAGGTAGTAAAATGTCGAGGAAGAGCATCAAATCGCCATAGTTTTATTTAGAAAATATTTTAAAGTGGAAATTATGAGCTCAGCTTTTGTCAGAATGTGTCCACCTCACATTGATCATTATATTTACTAACTTTATTAGTGAGCATTTTGATTGAAGCAGCAGCTTCAGCATTTCTTTGGATCTTGGTTCTTCTCAAACCTAAATAGAACAGATCCTGCAAAATCCATTTGTTTAGTCATTAAATACATATTGTTTTGTGAGCTTGGAGCCTCTAAGAGGCAGAAAAGTTTAATTTAGTTTCTACAGTTGCTGCATAGATATTTTTATATTCAGTTTTGGCAAGGGCTAGGCCTATCATGGGGAGGGGGGTTATGCTCTAAAACCCTTCATGTAATTTTTAGCAATTATGCTTAAACATACATATATTACATTGTACATTTTTAATTCGGGCTAAAGTTACCTAAAGACAACAATGGAGTTACATCTGTCTACTTAACCAGTTAATATCTTTTGTTTGAGTAAATGATGTCATTTTATTGGGGGAGTTATTTTGACTTAGGGTGTATTCACACCAGGAAAGTCCTTTGGTCCAATTGTTTGGTCCAGACCAAAAATGGACTTTTTTTTTCGTTTGGTGCGGTTTGCATTCACATTGTGCTTTTGTGCAAACGAACTATAACTTGTAAACAAAGCCATGAGGCTGATGATCATTGCTCCCACTGGACAAAAAAAGAAAGGGGCGGGACTGAGCCACAGACCCAGAAGAAAACAAGGAAGTCCTGCATGCTGCGGTTCTGATGCACACATTTATGCTGATAGTACAACTG